GTTTAGTGTTTTACACGTAAGCCTCATAAATAATTTACAAAAGTCTAGACATGAAAATATCAACGCAATTAAAAGTTTTTTACAAGCTCACTTCATCCTGTTGAGTGGATAATGAACTAAGTGAATAGTTTTATGAGAATGCTATTTGTAAAACTCTTATTTTTGATTAGAGTTAATCGATAGGTACATGAAAGGTCAATGAATGAGCCTGAATATTATGAGAGTTTTCCTGCAAATACTTTAGGAGGTGTAGTATTACAGAAACTACACTTTTAATAGAGAGAGAGAAGAAGAAAACAAATGACGAAATATTCTAGACAATTTTACATACAAAAATGTATTTTATTAAAAACAAAGTACTCCTTATTTTAATTCACATTTCTGCTCCTAAACGTAAACAACTACCCAATCTGCATGAATCGGATGAGGGTATCATTATATTCCACAAAAATATTTTGGCTTTTTTTACAGGGCGTTGAAGGAATTTATTCATTTTTTTATTGTTTATAAAAATTAAAGAAATCATTTAATGAGAAAAATTTAACAGGTTGTAGTGTTTAAATCATGGTGATAAAAAATTTTGAATGTTGAAAAATATGAAAAAACGAATTTGTTTATTTATTTGCTTATATAATAATAATTTATTAATTTTGTAATAATATAAATTTTAAATTTTTCATCCAGAACTATGTGGGACTAAGTTCATGCATTAGACCATGAATAAAAATTTCGCCTGTTGGAAGTCAAAATTATTATAAAAAAAGTACTACAGCAGTATAAGTACACTGTAAACACGTGAACTTAAAATTGAATCGTAGGTTAGGGATCTGCATTCCGTTTTTTCAAATCAGTTATTTACCCAAGATTTTTCCATTTTTATGAAAAGAATAAAATTTAAACTTAAAAGTGTTCTTTGCAGCTCTCAAGAAAAATGACGAATTCATATAAAATGACGCACAAGAAACATCCCTTAAATCGATTTGCAGCTCTCGAGAAAAAAATGTTTTTATATTTATGTAGTTATTCAAGAAAATTTTTACGGCATAAGCAAAGTACTTTTTCAAACAACAGAAATAATTAAAAATACTTCTTTAGATTTTTCTTGAGAGCTGGATTCCAAGCTCAACGAGGAAAAAATTAAAAAGATAACAAATCCCTATAATTTTTCAAATTTGTTCTAAATCATATCGGGCCAATGTTCGATAAATCGAACAATGAATTTTACACTTGTTTGTTAATTTTTCTGGACTGTTTTTCCGAGTTAAGGGGTCAATGGGAATGCGATATTTTCTGTATTATTATATAAATCATCATTATATCATTTACAAAAGTCATAAATAAAAATCAGTCAGTGAATTTTATTTTAAAACTCATCAATATAAATCAGTCACCGACTTTTATTTTTTAAATCATACGTATAAAAGTTATTAACATTTTTCGCAGTTAAGGAAATGTTGGGAAACAAAAGTTTGCTACGACTTATGCAAATGACTTTTATAAGTATGATTAAAAAAATAAAGGTCAGTGACTGATTTTTATTTATGACTTTTATAAATAAAAATTTTCGATAACTTTTATCTAAGACATATAATTTAAAAATTAAACATAACTGTTACTTGCAGATTATTTAGATGAAAATCAAAAATAATTTTTATTTTGGATTTATAAAACGAATGTCAGAAATAATGGTTATTTAAGGATTAATTAAATAAAAGTCTAAAAAGAATTATTAAAGAGCGATTTTTTTAATAAAAGTTGTAACTGTTACGGTCCCTGGTTCCTCATAAAAAATTATAAAATAGCTTTTACATATTTTTTAATCAAATGTGCCCTTAAAAAATAGAAAGTCCTTTAATGAAGCTGCAACGAGACGCATATGTAAAATAAATGAAATAAAAATGCGGATATTTTGAAAACTAAAAATCGAAAANTATTTTGAAAACTAAAAATCGCAAATTTTTTTGATCACAAATTGGAATTTATTTAGTTAGCCAATTCGAAAAAAAAATCGTCGAGCCGATACTAACAATGAAAACCTATGAATAAATAAATAAGTTTTGAATGGTAAGATGGAAATTTGCAGTAACTTTTTGTAGCTATAGAAAAATTTCGAGAACTCGTTACACTCTGTTAGCACGATATAATTCGACAAGCAGTGATAACTCGATAAACTTAAATGACCCTGAAATTTCGATAAATCGATATATTTTGAAAATTCCACAAACTTCTATTCGATAGATCGTCTACACAATACACGATACAGGTCCACAAATAAAAACCGATAAAAGGTTCCTTTGACCAAACCTAGTCTGGTATATCATTTTGGGGTCGCTGAACACGAATCTGAAGTCCGTTTTGCTCCATCACGTCTGGATTTCTTCTAACCTCAAATAACATCAATCGATTTTTTTTTTGTGGACCTGTGTTATCAATAACTCTGTATGTTGAAAGAACTCGATGCATTACAAAAACTCCATAAATCTTCCTTACATCTATAAATAATGATAAACAAATAAATATCGATAACTTAGTCAATTTATTTAGCTTTGCAAATTTCGATAATCCCATAAATTTTTATAGCTCGATAACTATCCGTAAATTTCGATTTCGGTGTCTATAAATTTCGAAAACTCAGTAAACATTGATCAATTTACATAATTCGAAACGTTGTGATAACTCAATAAGCATGGATAATTCGATAAATTTCGATAACTATTAACTTTGATGATTCGATAAATTTCGGTAACTCTTATGACTGAATTTATTGCGACTCCTATCGAAAAATTTCAATTAATTTTCTTAGGGCCTAATTCACAGTGCGTAGTTAACCACTGATAAGAGTTTAACTATTGGTTTTCATATTCACAACGCTCAGTTAACAAAAGTTTAAACCAGCATGCCCCCATAGTTAAACTCTTGTGGATTTTTTTTTTTTTGTGGAATGAATTTCAAATTTGAATAGAAAAGTATTGATTTTAAGAATTTGTATATTTTCAGGCGATATGAATTACTATAGTTAACTATGTGACTCTGAATATAAATTCATAGTTAAACTCTTGTTGGTGGTTAAGTTAACAATGGTTTAACTAAGCACTGTGAATTCGGCCCTTACTCTTTCAGTTACCCTAATTCTTATGTATTTCTCATTGTCTCCATTTTCCTCTTTATATTCACTTTTGCCTTCTCTATTTTATCTTCATCGTTATCATTTATTTCTTCATCTTCATATTTATCTTTATTTCAACGTTTAATTTCAAATATGAGGTAGAAGGTTGTAACCAACACCCATGCACACATACGGAGATTTTTAAACGATTTTTGGCCGTAATTTTCAATTAATCTTGAAACCATAAATATTCTCCTCATCCACAGAATATTACCTATTCAATGGTGTTCTTCGTTTAGGAATCGGTTCGGTAGAATTGCCAAACGAATGGAGACGAAATTTATGTTAGCATTAAAATTTAGTTTAGTTTAGGATAAAAACCTATTTAAAAGGACATTTTCAATACCTATTCGTTCTTTTGAATTAAAAAGTTTAATGTTTTTCAATTCTTAAAATTTGTATCTTTATTGGATGTCCATACTGTTATTCTACATCGCTCCGAATTTTTTTCATAGACGGTAATATATATCATCATGTTAAAAAAAAATATATAGATATATCTCATCAAAATTATTGATTCGAAATATATCGATATTAAGTACCGTCCTCTTTTCAGCTTTTCAGCTATCCCGTTGCTAGTTCTGAACCAGTTCAATTTGCTGTTGAATAGTTTCCAATTTTCACTTTCAGCTTATTTCCCATATAAATATGTGTGTACATATGCATCGCTTGCAGTTCAAAATTGAGTTAAAATGGCTGTAATTTACCACCACGCAGATTCAGTGAATTACAAACAAATGCAAAAAAAAATACCAACTTTCATTTACAGAACTCAAAAGCATTTGTATGAGAACATGCCAAAGTCAGACTCGGCACCAATAATATGTACTTAGAGAACCATAAGCAAAGGCCAAACCAGCAAGCTATTTGCATAGCACAAACAAAAGTGAGCAAATGCCTATTGTTTCAGGTGTGCGCTGCGCTGCGGTGAGGTGCGGTGCGGTGTGCTGCAGTTAAATTCCAATGCTGCGCTGCTCCAGTTCCTGACTGCCGTACCAATAAACGAACAGTTGCACACCAATTTCAACGCTAACAAATTGCATTCGAATGCCAGACATAGCAACATTTTCAGCATTGACCGAAAAACCGGTATATATGTATTAACACACATGTGTTTGCACACAAATACATACCTACCTACACTGCATACGTACATGTCTGTCTATCTGTTTACTTATGTACATACGTGCATCCACCGAGCAGTGCTTAAATATTTAGCAGCAAAGTGATTGCTAAAGGTCGACGCTGAAATGTGAGTAGTTAACACCACCGCAACTAACGCCGCGCGCTGTGGCCGTAACACGCTTACGTACGTACGTATGTATACAACATGCATGCGTCTGTATGTTGCAAGATTGGCACGCAAGCAGCCGCACATAATTACGCAATTGTTGTTGCAACCGCACAACAATGCCAAATGCCACACGCGGCTTTCTCCACACGGCACCGCGCCCAGCTCCGCTTATGGCAGTTTGCAACCACAACTCAGAACTGATAAAGCCGCTGCCAACACCCAACTCTCGACCACCATACATTTACGAATGTGTAAAAGCTGCAAAGCACAAATCGAATTCGGAATTAAATTCCACACCCAAACGCTCGCATACAAATTGAATGCGTTTTCTCAATAAAGCATGTACATAACTAAATACATACATACATGCATGCACACATTCATATATGCACGCCCACTCACATGCCACATTGCCAACACACACACACACAAACACAACCACATAACGATTAACTTTGTTATCCTTTCGGCAACAATGCATTTATTTCAATGAAAATACCATCAGTCGTCATTCCATTACAGTTGCGAATCTCAGCGCGCTTACAACGCCGCTGCCCATTTACGTTGACGTCGCCTTGGCCATTTGCGTCGCCTAGGTTGCACTGCTGCTGTCGGAAGCGTCACAGTCATCAAAGCGTTTTTTCCCAAAGCCGCCAAACCGTCCACCCGCTGACGTCGGCGCCATTTCTGTCGTTGCTGATGAAGCCACCGCTGTTGCCATTGTCTGCGTTGAACGTACGGCGGTTGGGATTCGGTGTCGAAGTAAAAATCGCCATGGTTGCGGCGTTGGGAATGTATGCCGAAACGACCTCGATAGTTCTGCGCACAAAGACCCTGCTCAAAATTTTCATAGCTGCTGCAATGGTAGCCCATGAAGGGAAACGCCGGATCCATGGATTGCTTGAAAAACACAGCCGATGAGCTGTGGCTGCATGCAACCGCATCTGTGTGGATGAAAAGAAGGCAGAAGGCATAAGTGAAATGAATAATTAAGTATGTAGGTAGATTGTCAACACATTCAATGCGTTGCATGCGGCATTAAAGTGATTGTAGTACAGCGTTTTTGTTGCACGCCTATTTGACCGTTGCACATCTGTACTTACTGTTCTGAAAACCCGAAAGCAATACTTGACAGTGGCGTTGCGGCGCTTTTCCACCATTCGGATAAAAGTCGGCATGTCCCGATTTAACGCTGGTACCCAAAGTGTCGCCTGATGTGTGCAACACTTGCACAAATTCTGCGTCGCTGGGATCCAGTCGAAAATCCGTTGATACTACAGCTGGCAGCGTGAAGAGCGGACCGGCAGGATCAAGACCAATGATTTGTTCAACTTCACCATTGAGCATAACACCCGCATAGCCAGCCGCATGCGCACCCAAACTGTAGCCAGCCAAAGTGACGTTGCGACGTGTAAATTGGTTTGGTCGCAAATTCTCCATTGCTTTGATAATGCCAGCTACGGTGAGGCCAACATCAAATATAGACATCGATGCCGTTTTGTAGTCCACCTTTGACAAATGGCCCCAATCAACAACGCAGACACTATAATTCGGATCGAAGTGCGTCCAAGCTGGTGGAAAAAGAAAATAAAGTTTGGTTGAATTTGCATCAAGAATTCGTGAGTTTCAATTACTTTTTAACATATCCTGCACCCACTCTTTGCTGCCTTCGTCGTTCCAACCATGTAAGAATAGTGCCAACTTTCGGCGCGGATCCAGGCGATGAAATCCACGCAAATCGCCTAATTGTAGATCAAAGTGATATTCGTCTCCAAGTCGCATATTTGAGCTAAAAATTAAAAAAAAAAAATCATTTTCTACAAACAAACATATCGCACACCGTCTTCAAAAGAGGCACAACTCAAAACTTGGCATTTTTGAAATTATGCGCTAAAAGTGTAAGAACTTTTCGTTATTTTAAAAATAATAATTTTTCATGTTTTTTGTATCCGCTAAGGCATTATTTGGACCTCAAGAGCCAAATTTCTTGAACAACTAATTCGCAATCATTTTTTTTTTTTGCGGTAACTTTCCTTACTTTTTTTAGGTAGCGGTCACTTCTTAATAGGCAAAATGAAGGCACACTAATTAATTACGTCGTTCATTATAGATCACGCACGCACAGTATGTTAGATATCCACGATTATTATCAGCAACAAAGATTTACAGTATCGGCCATATCAAGAGCACCAGTGAGATTGTTTGCCACTTATATTTATTTATTTATTTTTAAAAGTTTTCAATTAAAAAAATACGGTTTATTCTCTAACAAAATCCATATGCTTAAATCCATTCTTAAAACTAAAAAAAAATAGCAATATATCGCCAGCTTAGAGTGAAAAGTTGCTAAGTCCACTTGTTATGAAAACTCATATTTTGATAAAGGAAGCTAAAGGGTAAAGGTCCTTGTTTTATGTTTTCTCGTTTATATTCAATGAAAGGAAAAATTTCTTAAGGCCAAAAAAAAGCTCCGAAAATTCGATAAGGCCAAAATAGTATGAAATATTTTAATAAAGATCGAATCCCTCTGATTTTGCTTCGCTTTAAACAGGCAAATTGTTGTATGCAAAGTTTTGCAAAATACTTAAAGAAAGTGACTATAAGAAGATTTTTTTCTCTCGTCTACAATTTTTAAATTGGGACTTAGTTTCCCAACAGCTTTTCTCAAATTTACTTCTCGAGGTAAATTTTTAGCATACAGTTTTATAGCCCATTAAATTTTACTGCAATAATGTGCAAGTTTCAAGTGGCTAAAAATTGTCGCTGATTTTTTTTTAATTTTTTATTTTTTTTTTTGCCAAAAGTGTTGCGGTTTTCTTCCATATAAAACTAAATGATCTTTATTTGTTTTATCAAAGCAAATGCGATAAAAAAAAGTTTTCAAAAATCAACACTATTTTTAGCCACTTGGAACTTGTACATTTATGACAGTAAAATTAAATAGGCTATACAGCTGTATACTCAATTAAATTTTACTGCAATAATGTGCAAGTTTCAAGTGGCTAAAAATTGTCGCTGATTTTTTTTTTTATTTTTTATTTTTTTTTTTGCCAAAAGTGTTGCGGTTTTCTTCCATATAAAACTAAATGATCTTTATTTGTTTTATCAAAGCAAATGCGATAAAAAAAAGTTTTCAAAAATCAACACTAATTTTTAGCCACTTGGAACTTGTACATTTATGACAGTAAAATTAAATAGGCTATACAGCTGTATACTCAAAAAAAAAAATCTAACACTTCTGAAAAAAAGTTTTGCAGTTTAGAAGAAAGTTTGGTTTATTTTTTTTTTTTAATTTTCTACGAAGTTTTAAAGATTTGTTTATACGGGTTTTGTTTGAGAATGAACTGTATTTTAATTGAAATTTCTTAAAAATAAATAAATAAATACATAAATAATAGTGGCAAACACTATCACACTGAAGTGGAGGTGCTATTGTTATGACCGATACTGTAAGTATGCATTCCTTTTTAACTTCATTCTATTAATTCAAAAAGAAATTAGTTAGGGTCTTCTTTTTTGGGCATACCTTCGTTGTTTGCATGCCCTTTCACTGTCACTTTTTTGTATTAATTACTTAATATTGATAAATATTCATGGCAATGTTATTTTTTCACGAGCGTTAATTTGTATGTACATACATATGTTGCTACAATAAGCCTATTGTGGTATCAATAACTATGCATAAGAAACCTACATAGTACATACATACATACGTTGTACGACACTCAAAGACGATCCCCGAATTTGGTTTAGCACGATTCAAGCTGGTGCGCAGCATCGTCTCCTGAATGTAACGCATCGAAGTCGCCATTGCTTTCCATTTTTGAATATGGTGATACAAAAATGTGGTGTCATAAATTTCGGGTAAAGTTAGAAAGGCCAATCCAATAAAAATGAGCATCAAATCGCGTATTGACTGCATTCGAATTTTTAATTTATTTATTTATTTTTTTTATTAACACAAATAGCCTCAAAAGGCAGCAAAGGAACAAATAATGTAACGCAAAATGAAAATTAACCGCCCTTTTATTGTTTATAAGCGTTACAAAATTTTTACAACATCCAACAAACGCGCCACGCCACCACACTCGCGTTCAACACACAATTTTAAACGCCAAACTGTTTGTGATGCCCAATGGCATGTAACTGATGAGTTGTGATATCGAATCTTAAGCATTTTCCCGCTCATCATATTGGCTTCACTGTCGATTGATCTGTACGAAACCGTAGTCACTGTGCTACTATCCACCAATGTCGATAAACCTCAAAGTGTAAGCCGGTGACGCAGCTGCTAGGTGAGAGTGCCGACGGCACATCCACATAGATAAAGTATATGCATTAAATACATATAAGCAACAACAAGACGTTAATGTAAGCAAACAAAATGAGATGTATAAGAGATCACTTCTACTATTTTTTGTATAAATTGAGTAAATTTCTTTTGTGTGCGATTATTTATAAAGCGGGCTGAATTGTTGATACATATGTAGTACGTAGGTGTTAAGTGGTAAATGTCTATGTTTGTTTTCTATTTTACAAGCGAAAGTATTGCAGTGGAGCGGAAACCACATCGCTTTAACTTCCCAGCAAATTGGCGGAAGACGAACAAACTTCTCAAAAAATTAAATATTCGTAATATTGATTATAGCAAGAAAGCTTGCGCTCAAGCTTATTTTTTTTCAAATTGCTTTAATCATACATACATACAAACGAGTATTTTATTTATTTTTTTTATTTGGATATTTTGAACTAAACGAGGGTAGTTGGATAGGTCAGTGAATTTTTAAATTCACTGTGTACGCTTCCGACTACTGTCGTACTGTCAAATTTGGAGCATACATACTACGCCATTTAGCTTGTGTTTGACAGATATTGAAATCAAACAACCTGCTAAATATTTATGAAAATGGAAAAAGTAAATAACTTTGGTGTAAACAATCAAAACTAAATTTTTGAGTAAAAAAGCCATCACTTGTGAAAGGAAAAGCTTAATACATAAATCAATCATAAATCTACGCCATCAATACCAATGGGCAAGAAGTCGCCTTCTGAAGTTCTTTGAATAAATGCGTATGCAAACACAATCCACGCAATTTGGGCGAGGTTTTTGTGCTGAGCACAGCAATTATATAACAAGTAATTTTGAAGCAAACAAAAAAAAACCGACTTCAATTCTGATATAAAAATTTAGGATTAACGTTATTTTTTCATGATCCAATGTTCGAATCTAAATCTAGTATGGGACCACCTCTGAGACACTACCTTTCCGATGCAAAAATCGAAAATCGGTTAACGCGGTCCAAAGTTATGCGGTAACATATATACAAAAATAAAAACAAAAATATTCCGATGAACCGATAACCTCCTCCTTTTTTGGAAGTCGGTTAAAAAGTAATAAAAACCAGGATATATTTCAGCAGATAATTAATTGAAATATGTATATATTTTAGAAAATACTTATAATAAAAAGCAGGGTTGAGGTTTTTGACAACTAATGAAAAATCCCTTGATCCCAAAACTTTAGAAATTTTTTAGATCTAATCTATTTAATCCAAATAACTTTGAACTTATTCCATTTAATTGTCTTTTAAATGAAAGCCATACCTACACGGTCAAAAATTTGGGTTTAATTTTTAAACCGCGCTGGGACTACTGTCTTTTTTAAACTTTTATAGTCTACTTTTTAAACCAGTCAATAGTTTTACGCAATTTTTAATATATTCTGGTTTAAATTTTAGCCCAAAAAGTTCGTGGTTTAAAAATCAAACCAAAATGTTTTAATTCTAGTTTCTAGGTTTCATATATAGAAAATTTGGTTTAAAATCTAAACCGAAATAGAATATGTTTGCACAGCGAATTGTGGTGTTGATTCAAACTCAACATATGAAAGCACATTTACATGCGTGGCTGTAGCTGAGTGTGCAAAGATGCTTGATACAATTGGTTGCTACCAAGGCTGTCCGGGTTCAATCCCAACCAGACGGAGCATGAAATTTAAGATTTTTTTTTTTTTTTATTCTTAATTATGAAAATGTTTGGGTTTAACATTTAAACCGAATTGTTTAAATTCTAAACCCAACATATGTGCTCTCTTTTTTTTAAACTTGGAAGGTTTGTATTTGAAACTGAATTTAGTTTGGTCATATATGTAGTCCAAAAAGTTTAAAATTAAAACCGAAATTTTTAACCGTGTAATTATAATCGTTTTATTCAATGTTTGGCTTTTATTTCTGACTAAAGGTAAACGTCAGACCGCGAAGTCTCCAAGTTGGATAGGGAAGCGCATGGGTCTGGTGGTACACGAGGACAAGACGAAGTATCTCCTGTCATCAAACAAACAGTC